TCTAGCAATGATCTTTACGATTCAAGTTTGATTTCAATTCGTCTAGATTTATTACAATATAGTTATTCATGTAGTCAACCATCATCTTTTGTAAAAAAAAAAAAAGAAAATTTTTATATTCATTTAATATTGATTAAATTATTTATAGTCATTTCAAATTGAAGCTTCATGTTCTTTAGCAAGTACATTACGTATTGAACAGTAGAAAAATTCGAATAAATTTTATTTCTGAAAATAATGTTGTTTTGCTTTTTTTTTATATGAAAAGAAATATTGAATTTGAATTTTGGAATGAATCTAATCCAATAATTGACATTGAATGGTTAATTTTCTTTTTATATAATAGAAAATTTTCTAATGAAATTCAATATTTTTAATAGGATTCGAAAAAATTTACCAGTAAATATTATTCGTCAATTCTCTTCTGTCTATATCAAACGTAAACAAAATGATCCAATTTTACTTAAATATCAATAGTAGAAAACAAAATTTTATTTTTTATTCAATTTTCTAAAATATTTTCTTCTAGTTGTTTTAATCAGACTTGTCAATTAATTAATAATGATCAACTTGATTCTTTAATTATTTATGCAATACCTTTAAATAAACAACACGAAATATATGCTCATTATTTAATTAATCGATCAGATTCTTGTATACCTATTAGTCAATCAATCTATCGTTTATGGCTTAAATGGTCATTAAATACGACAGTTAGAAGCCAATTTTTTCAAGTAGGATACTAGAACGATTTATCGCAAAACAATTTTCTAGTATGCTTAAGAAAGAACCACGACGTTCTGTTAGAACGTGCTGTAAAAGTACCAAGGAGGAAAAAGCGGATCGCCGGATTGTGGGATTATCTGGATTCCCGTTGTATCCGCTGGATTGTATGAATCGCCATTGAATCCTCCAGATTGTCATCGTATCGGCGATACGAGAATCTCATAGAAATATGAAAGATAAAACAGTGCCGCTGGGTATTCATGAATGTGCCTTTCCTCTTGAATAAAAAGAAATTATGTGAAAATACCGAGTAGAACATAGAAGTTCGGTTATGCCATTATGTAAGTGAGTCTTCATGTGACACGACGAAAGTTGTCTTCAATAAACGCGGTTACGGTTTTCTGATTTTAAATAAGTTTTAGAACTAAGAGTTTCAAGACATTTGACCTGAATTCTTCGAAAACAGATTGTTCACTTCCCAAAGTGCTCAAATATTGCTGAGAATGCTATCTAAAAACCACATTTTTTGGTCTTATATTCTACATAGTTTCTAGCGACAACACATCTGTTCAGCTTCAGTTGCTTAGTACGTGTACGTCTGAACTCAATATAATAGTTGGAAATAATGAGTTTGAATGAGTACACTATCGACGATTTCATTAGTACTACAAGATGAGACGCACGGCAAAATGAACATTTTCGATATTATGAGTATAGATTTTTCATCAACAAACCGTGCTAGTATGCAGTTATTTTGATAGCAGTGGAATCTCACGCAGGCTTAGTCTCAAAGAAAATCTACTATCTGAATTGTTCAAACCACGCTCATTCGACCTTTGACAAAATCAAAATTTTGACTGGAACTACTACGATACTTTCAGGGACTAATATCACGAAGTATCTGATCAATTGAAGTCCTATTAATGTAATTTTGAAGCACACACTGAGCACTCTAAAGTTATGTAAGAGTTAAAATGCACCCTTCAGAGCTATAGTTGAGTAAATTATTGAAAGATGGTGATAACTAACTCATGAGCCATAGAAAATATAATCGAATCAATTCGAAAATTAATAGAAAGATTACATAAAGTGCTATAGATTTTATTCTGCAGAAATTAGGATACAGTCTTCTATAGATTTCCATAAAGAGTCCT